ACTCAGAAGCAAGAACTCTAGCACAATAGCAACACTTGCTGTGAAATTTGCCAACATAGAGTCAATATTCCTTTCATATGTAGGTGTATTACGTGGCTATGAAGCAAGCTTATATGAATGTGATTTTGGGTAGTGTGTTGGCTATATTTACAACAATTTCATACAAGCTAGAGTCATTAAAGATGAGTGAGTCTCATCTGAGGAACTACCTCCATCAGATAGATCTGAAGGCAAGCCTGTAGGACATTTTCTTGATACTGATTGATGTGGGAGGACCAAGGCCAGTATGGGTTGGACCATCTCTGGGTTTAAGGCCTTAGGTTCTGTAAGAAAGCATGATGAGCAAGACAAGTCAGTAAACAGAACCCTCCCATGGCTGCTGTATTAATTCTTCTCTCTAGGTTCATGCCTTAGTTGAGTTCCAGTCCTGACTTCCTTCAACAATGGACTATGATATGAATTGTAAATCAAATACCATTTCTTCCTTGATTGGCCATGGTCATTGTGCTTTATCTCAGGAACAGCAATCCTAATGAAAACAGGTTTGTGATCATTTCTTTTCACTGACACTTTCTTTTGATATCCTGCACATCCATGTGATATTATCAACTGTAACTAACATATCTTATATAGAATTCCTAACAACTCTTTAAAGATAATAGATTCGGAACCTAAAAATAACTCTTTGTTTCTGACTTTTGTGGTGGTTTATTTTTGTTGTTTGTTATATTTATTATTAGATTTCTAAGATAGAATCTCACTGTGTATCCCTGGCATACAAAACTACCAATAAAGTCTGGAACTCTTATAGAGCCCTCTGCTCTGATATGCAAATACTGAAATTGAAGTTAAGGCAACAACCAGATGTATATGACTCATAAGACTGAATTGTCATCTCCAATAAGTCCACACCCTTGGTCCCTGGAATGTCTTACTTTCTTTCCAAGTGGGTCTTAACTTCTTTATCTCTCATTCTCAATTCTAAGTATGGATAAGACCTGCATAAGTAAAAGCCAGGCAAAATCATAGCAAAGAGAAAAGAAAGTGAGTAGAAATCCCTCTCCATACCCATCACCAATTAGCTATTTGTAATTGATAGCTCTTCAAAGAGGGAAAATCAGTCTTCTTCAATGGAGTGACAGGCAGGATATATGCTCAAGAAGAGGGGGCTAACCGGGCATTGGTGGCACACACCTTTATTTCCAGCACTCAGGAGCCAGAGGCAGGAGGATCTCTGTGAGTTCAAGACCATCCTGGTCTACAAGAGGTAGTTCCAGGACAGCCTCCAAAGCCACAGAGAAACGCTGTCTCGAAAACAAACAAACAAACAAACAAAAAAAAAAAAAAGAAGAGGGGGCTAATACAAAATGGTCTTTGTGATTTTCTTTTATGTGGTGTGTGTGCCATTCTGGGGAAATACAAAGAAACTACTGATCGGAGCAAGTGGAAGCTCATAGACCCCCCAGACAGAAAGCTGGGGAACCTGCAAAGGCCATAACCAGGCCCCCTGAGCATGGGTGACAGGAGGCCTGGGCAGGCTATGCGGCCTCTTGCAGTGGAAGCAGTGCTTATTCATAGTGCATGAATGGACTTTGGGAGCCCATTCCTCTATTGAGTGATTCTCCCTCAGCTTAAATACATGGTGGCAGGGCCTAGGCCTTGCCCTAAATGATGTGAGAGACTTGATGTTCCCAGGTAGAAGGCCTCTTTCTCCCAGGGGAGTTGTTGGGGAGTAGGACTGGGATAGGAGGGGATTTGGTGAGAGTCATGGGAGGATGAGAGGGAAAGGGAACTTGGATTAATATGTAAAATAAGATCATTTCTAATTCAAAATAAAAGAAATACTTTCTATTAATTATAAAATAATTATTCAAAATGATTTAGAATTTACTGTTGATTTAACTCTGCATGTAAAATGAGAAACACCCACATCACAGAGACTCATGACATCATAAACAACATGACATCACAGCCATAATCACAGTTCTCCACACATTCTTCCCAGGGCCACACATTTCACATTCATTGAAAGTTGTGAGGAAATTTGTAAATGGAAGGAACATGCCACTAGTCCAGCACTATAAAAAGTGATAGTAATGAGACCCTACAGCCTGTTTACAAAATATTTACCAAACTAAACTGAACAAAGCAAAACATAATAATGTTAACTGACTCTAGTATAGTTTTTTTTTTTTAACTACTGTATTCATACCAACTTGCAAGCCTGGTCCTCAAAGTGTAATATGCACTCAATCTTTGAAAAAGAGAAACCAAAAGGCTTCTAGTACAGTGTAAAAACGTTCCACTAAAGACAAATGCTCCCTGTTTTTTTAAGCACATTATCACCTACGGTGTATTAAGAGGAAAGATTACATCTGCTCACATGTCTTAAACATTCCTCGGGGAAACTGCTGTGATTTGCCTTTTGAATTTTACCATTCCCAGAGCTTTTCTAAAATATTATTTCAAGTGAACTAGGAAATTCAATCAACATATTTGTGTAAAAATTCTACAGCTTACAATTTCTACTACACAGTAAATGTCACATTAAAATAATATTGCTGCTATCAGGAAAACTGTGAAAGGGATTTAACATCACCACACACTTAATTAAACCAGCTTGTGCTTATTTAGCATTTGCCTTCATGTCTCTATGAAGGTATTTGTGTAAACAGAGCTGCCCTAATTAAGCAGTTTCTCTTCGAGCCACTCAGCATGTTCATAGCACACTTTGGGCAGTAATCATCACACTAAGAGTGATGGATAGAGCAGAAGGCCCCAACTAAAGCATGCAGGAGGAGCCAGGCATGCTAGCATCTTTGTAAAACACAAAAAGAAATTCAGAGACAGGCAAAGTGTAGTTTCTCAGACTTGTTTCTGATTTTTCATATCAAAAATTATACTACTTTATTTGTTAATTTACTTCCCAGACACGTTTAACTTCCACACAGTGTCAAATAATCTAAGGAATGAATAAAGCAAAATATAACTGAGTGAAAGTAAAAATAAAAGCTCCTTCCTCAGTTCATACTAGAACACAATCAAATCACTGAAGATTATTGCTACTAAAGATATGAATTCAGACTCATAGAGAATCCCTATAAGTGCTCTAAATTTTCTAAAACCTAAGCCTGTATTATACTCCTTTTTTTGTGGCTTCATCTCCACCTCTGAGAGAATAAAAGAAAACTGGTAAAATATCATTTTTGTGATGCCTTAATACATTCCTTTATATTTTTCTTCTGGTAGCTTTTGAGTAAATAAGATTTTAAACTAAGTAAATAACAATAGTAATAGTCTTCAGTGTGATTGATCATGATAAGGAAGCAAATGCTAACTATGTGACAATGGTGCTTAGATGCTTGGGAACTTAGTTCTTTCAAATATAATTGTGTGTCATTGTTTTTATTAATAACTGAAAAAGTATAAATAATTCATGAAACCATACTTCTAGCCAAAGTGTGAATTGGCAAGTTATAAATTCCTGCCTGTAATATTTCTCACATCGTGAAGTGTTTAAGAGGCAAATGTGAGCTGCCTGTTCATACATCAAACTTTTCTGATGAAGTATATGAGAGAATTGAAACTCATACCCAATGTGCGGAGCTTGAGAAACATTTTGATATTCTTCTTGGTTTTGAATAAGAGAGAACTCACTAAAGTTAAGAACTCACTTGTATTAAATGAAAAAGAAACAAACAAGGTATCTGATAAAAGTAAATAAAATATATTTTAATGGGAAGGGATTTCTGTATATTTTCACATGTACATTTATTACTCATCTTAAATTTGTTTCCTTCAGAATGAGACAAATATATATGAAGTCAATTGAACATAACAAAGAAGTAATAATAGTAATGTGCTAGAATTTTTGTACTTTGTGTGATTCATAGTTTCCTTGCACTTAAATTACAGAAGGATAAATACCAAACTTAGAAGTATTTTGTAAATTCTTCCTAATTCTAAATTTGCTTAAAAATAAACTATATAAATTTGTATATAACCAAATGTATTTTTCTGATACACAAAATGAAGATGTTTTATTATAACTAAGCCCTTTCTAGAATGGTAGGAATTGATTTAATGGACCAAGAATAAAACAGGCTATAAATGGAAAGATTTGTAGTTAAAATTTTTTTGTTTTCTTATTTGATTATAGCATGTAGTTTTATGTAAACTTGATACAATCATCAATTTGGAAAAGAATCTCAATTGAGAAAATAACCCTACCATATTGGTCTATGAAGGGAAGACTCAGGTCAAACTCAGTATGGTTCTCTGTGCTACAAAAAATCACGCAAGTAAAATTTACTAGGTGGCATGCCTACATTCTTAAATTCACAATGCCTCCAGGTTTGTGTCCTTATTTCCCTCAAAGATCAACTGTGATGTGGAGCTGTAAGCAGAAATAAATCCTTTCATCCTTGAATTGTTTATTGTCATGGTCTTTATAACAGCAATAGAAAAGTAAGACAGACACAACATTAGATAAAATTGAGGAAATAGACAACATTACTCATTTGTTCATTTGGGAGGCGGAGGTAGGAGGATAGACTGTAAATTTAAAATCTGTATATATTACCCTGTATATTTAAGGTAAGTCTGTGCTGCAGATTGAGACCTGTCTCAAGAAAGCCGAAAAACAATAATAATTATTATTATAACATTGAGAATTAAATGCTGTAGACATTTCAAATTAGGTACAATAGATATGTCTGCTAGATATGTGATAGAAGTTAATTTTTCTTTTGACATGTTAATTTGGAAGTATAAGGCCAATTTGTTACGAGATTCATACAATATATTTTGATCATATGATTTTATCTTCCCAAGGTCCTTGTCTTATGTCCAAACTTATAGCTTCCTTTTATAGATTAAAAATCTTTGCTAGGATGTAATGGGAAAAGGATTTTGAGAACAATGTAGAAGTGTTGCTTCCCCCTCTTTTCACAGCAACTAAGATTAATGAATAATCATAAAATGACTGCCAGGTAACCTACCCATGGGAGTTCCAACACCATAACCTTTGGAGTCTATAAGGCCGCCAATCTGTGTGAGGTTACAGTTCCGCTGGGTAACAAACTCGATGGTTGTTGACTCCATTAAGAAAGCATAATCCGAGGTGAGGACTCGCTGGATCCCTTCTTCATTGCTTTTGACAAGTACAGATTGTCTCCTGCTGCTCATAAACGCCCACATTTTATCATATGTTGAGATTTTTGATTTCTGGAGGAAAGTAAGATACATTTAAGGTCTAATAAAATAATATCTGAGATTCTACAGAATCATATAAAATTAGACACGATGGAATACACTCTGGTTTCTCAAGACATTCTATCATTGTCTTTTGTACAAGAAAATCATGATTCATACAATATGTATCTAGTAATTCATGACCTTTCTGGGTAAACTACAATTTAAAAAAAGACATTGAAAGTGTCAAAGTTTAAAAATTCAAACCAGTAAATTATAGAAAACAGTAGAAATTAGAAAAGCAAATGAGCTAAACTAAGACTCTTCTGATTGCAGCATACATAAATTTCCTGTTGATATCATTTCCTTTTGATATTAATTAACATCAAACTAAGAAATGACAGATATTGGACACAGATTGACATTCTCAGGTAAGACCAATCTTTGTTGTAGTTCACCAATTTGTTGACTCTACCACAGACATCAAATCACTCCATAGGATATAAGTCTATGGTAGAAGAGTAGGGTTCAATTTATTGTAGATAAGGAAATTACACATAAAAATAGTATTATTTCCACAGGGACAAGATACAGTCACCACAGATGTCCCATTGAGTCTATACAAAGACAAGTAGAAATCAGTCAATCCAGATTTCTGACTAACTTGAAACTCTTGGATCACTTAATTGAACAGATTTATGAGCAACTGCAAATTCTCTATAGAGCTTTACTAGAATTTCATCTTAAAGGAAAGAAATGAGTTTTGTTAAGAGGCTTTAAAGGAGTATGAAGACTAACAAACTCCTCACCTGCTTTTCAATGCTTCCTGCAACCCCCAGCTTTATGTAACACCTACACAAGCCTGCCAAGAAAACACTGACCCCCTGGACACAAAAAGTAGAAACTTTACACTTTTATTTTCAAGAAAAATTATGAATTTGTGAGGTGAAAATCAGGAAATAAAGAGTATTTAAGATAATGTTGAAATTTTATACGAAGCCATGAATGAGGAAAGAGAGAACAGCTGATGTTTTTTTCCAGTTTGAAATTTTTGTTTCTAATCCTTTTATTTGCCATCAAACCTGAACAAAATAAAAATTAGAGCACATCTGCAGATGGAAGAAATTTTGTATAAAGAAAAAAATTAGCATCAGCTTTGATTTAATGATTTTGATTGAAAACACAGAAAAAAATTCATAAACTTTTTTTCTTTTTCTTTTCTTTTTTTTTTTTTTTTGGTTTTCTGAGACAGGGTTTCTCTCTGTAACTTTGGAGCCTATCCTGGCACTTGCTCTGGAGACCAGACTGGCCTCAAACTCAAAGATATCTGCCTGTCTCTGCATCCGGAGTGCTGGGATTAAAAGCATGTGCCACCAACTCCCGGCTGAGATTTTATAATTATAAGTATACTTTTGGTGTCTGTAAACAGAATAAGTAATTTCTTTAAAGAATAAATAGTAGTTAGAGAGATGGCTCAGTTTAGAACACTTTGCTCTTTCAGGGGACCGGGGTTGACCCCCCCAGAACATTTTGGCAGCTCATAACCACCTTGAATTCTAGTTCCAAGGGCTTCAACACCATCTCCTGTCAGATTTTTTCAAAATTCAATTGCAAAAACAACTATCTTATGAAGTATTTCTTCATTTAAACTACATGATATATATATGATATATATATGATCTATATATATATATGATGCTGGTTTTCCAGTCTCTGATAATTTTCTTAAGTTTCTACTAAAGGTAATACTTTCCTATTGTCATCTAATACTTTCCATTCTTGATTACATCTAGCATCTGTTTTGTACATTGTTTTGTGTAGCTAGTCCTCATTCTTCCTGTCAAATAAAACATTCAGACTTCTAGCATTCCTTCAAAATTATATTAAACAATGAGTTCATTACTTTTATGTGAGTGGGTGTTTTTTCTGCATGTATAGTTACACATGTGTTCATTTCCTGTGTTGCCAGAAGAGGATACCAGATTTCCTGGGACAGGAGTTACAGGTGGTTGTAAGTCACTATGCAGACACTGGGAATCAAATCCAGGTCATCTAGAAAAATAGCCAGTGCTCTCAACCACTGAACCATTTCTCTAGTTCAATGTATTTCTGTTATTCTTACCATTTGTTGAAGATGCTGCCTTTTCTCCATTTGGTATTGTTGGCTTCTTTATCTTAAATGAGACAGCTGAAAGTGTGTGCATTTATTTCTGTGTGCATCCTCAAGTCTAATCTATTCATCAATGAGCCTGTTTTTGTATCAGTACCATGATACTCTCATTAGTATAGCTTTGTCAGATAACTTGAGGTCTGGCATAGTGATGCCTACAGCAGTGTTTTTGTTGTTCAGGTTTTTGTTTGTAACTATGCTATGTCATTTTGGTTTCTCTGAAGCAGAACATTTCCAGATTATGATGATAATGGTAACACGTAACATGTAATAAATATTATGGTGAATAATTTTAATTAATTTTTTTATTTATCCTACATACCAACCAGAGTTTCCCCTTGCTCCCCTCCTCTAATACCCTCCCACCACCTCCCTTCTATACCCTCCCATCCACGTCTCTGTCTCCTTTCAGCTAGGTAAGTCCTCCCATGGGACACAACAAAGCATAATGTTGAGACAGGACCAACCCCCCCTCCCCTGGATCAAGGCTGAAAAATGTATCCCACCATAGGGAATAGGTTCCAAAGAGACTGCTCATACATCAGGTATATGTCCTGGTCCCACTGCCAGAGGCCCCACAAAAGACTATGCTACTCAACTGTCATACAGATGCAGAGGGACAATGACAGGCCCATGCCAGCTCCCTAGCTGTCCATCAAGAGTCTGTGAGCACCCACAAGTTCAGGTCAGCAAATGTAATATATAACTGTTATTTACACATGTCAAATCAATTCATTTTATAAGAATTGTAGTAGATAGGTTTTGGGATCCCTAGTTTTAAAATGAAAAAATAATTAAGAACACAGAAATGGTAGTATGAGATGGTAATATTTTTTTTAAATGCACATGGCTGATCATGTACAAAAAGAGGGAAAATCTTGAGCTTGTTTTATCTACAGGTTTATATTTTCAATCCATATACTATACTAACTCCATCTAAACACACATGTATAGTGTATTTTCTTGGTACATCTGTTATGTAAACTACGGGGTAACTTGCCACATTATGACAATAAGATGGCTCCCACAACTAGAAATAATGCTTTCTAAATTCTACTAAATACTATTAAATATTATTAGTCATGAATGAGTAAATGTTTGGGGAAAGATTTATGTATAAAGCTGATGACCAAAGAAATGTTATAAACTTTCTAAGGAAATGTGGAGCTATATTAAAAGACATTAAGAAAAAATGTTTAAAAATGGATTTCCAAATTTAATGTCTCAGGGGAATTGTTGAAATTTGCCTATTAATTGACTTTAAATTAAAAGCTTATAAAAAGAAAAGCCAGTTCTGAAGCAAAATAAATGAATTAACATCTAAAAGATGACTCTGTAATACACAATGAGAAAAAGAACATTCTAGACTGAGTAACTTTCAGCAAGTAAGAGTGTTCCTGTGACCTGAAATAGAACATCCCAAATCAGACATGCTGCTGCACTCATTAATATATGGGGTTACCACAAGGCACCAAATGCAGACATGGTGCTGGAATGAATTAAGATGTGGGCTTACCAAAGCGCACTAAAAGTCAGACATAGTGCTAGAGAATGATGGCAAAATGGATAGGATGTTTAAAAGACCTTGTTTTTCAAAGTATTCACTGTTCTTTTCTGCTACAGTTCCCAAACTCCAAACTTATCCTAGTCAATACACAATTGAGAGGGTCTTCAACGTGGTGCTCCTCTTTCCTTTTCTTAGATTATTTATTTTAGAATATGTAGAAATACAATTGTATAAGATATAATATCCCTTAGTCTCTTTGAGATGCAAATCTTTCAACTTTTAGGCAGTTCTAAAAACAAGGAGTACCTATTTCCATAGCTTGGCCATGTAATCTCACTGAAGTGTAAATCACCAGGGAAGAAAGTATTTCTCTTCTATCTTTCATTCTTTGTGGTTTCTAAAGAGACTGCTTTTAGCAGGTGATTTTATTTAAGTCTGAAAACTTCCTCAATCAAGAAGGGAAAAGAAAGTCTATTCCTTTTAAATAAGAGCAATAACTAATAACATACTGTTACTATTCCTCAATTTCATTAGATCTTAGAAAGTTTTTATTAATTTATTGTTTTACATTCCAATCCAAGTTCCTCCTGCCTCCTCCCTTTCTGCTTCCCCCAGTCTTTCTGACCTCTCATCTGCTACTCTGAGAGGGTAAGACCTTCCCCAGGAAGTCTAATAAGTCTGTCCCAACATATTATTGAGACAGGACCAAGATATCCTCCACTCCTCACACCCTTGTGTCTAGGCTGAGAAAGGTATCTCTCCATATAGAATGTGCTACAATAAGTCAGTTTGTGCATTAGTGTGAGATTTTGGACCTACTGCCAGTGGCCTCATATATTTTCACAGTCACACAATTGTCACCTATGTTACAGGAGTCTAATTTGATCTAATGCAGGTTCCTCATTTGGTAGACCTGAGCCAGGATCTCTCACTAGCTTGGGTCAGATAATTCTGTGAGTTTCCACATCATGGTCTTGAGTCCTTTGTTCATATTATTGCTCCTCTGTCACATCAATTGTACTCCATGGGCCTGGTCCATAGGTTAGTTGTGGATTTATGCATCTGCTTCCATCTGTTTCTGGAAGAGGGTTGTAGATTCCCTGGGCTTATGGATTGTAGAGTTGGTATCTTTTGCTTTATATCCTTGTGGTGTGAATGTGCCTCTTTGGGAAAATGCCCAACTGTGGTATTGCAGGATCTTGTGGTATGTTGATCCCTAATATTCTGAGAAATCAGCATACTTATTTCCACACTAGCTGTTTAAATTTGCACACCCACCATCAATGGAGGAGTGTTCCACTTTCTCCACATGCTCTGCAGCATAAGCTGCCATTGGTGTTTTTATCTTAGCCATTT